CGCCTTTGTCAGCGCCAAGTGTAACAGACGCGGGATAACCGTTGCTCCACCCAGACATGGCTGCGAAATCCCTTGGCAGCATTGCTTCCGTAGTTCCACCAGTAGGAAGAGCAGGGGAAGGGAACATAGGGATGTGGACGTAAACCGCACTAGACTGCGCACTGCAACAGCCTGCAGGCGCCACAATAGGCAGGCGAGCACCGGAACATGCCTTTTAGCACCACGCCGTGCCCGTGAATTCGGCGCCGCATCTGGTGGGGAACCTGCGAACGCCACAACACGTTTTTGAGTACCACGCGTGCCTTTGAGCACCACGCCATGCCTTTGAGCACAGCGCCAGACTTGCTGAGAAGAGGGGGGTCCGCCCCCACCCCCCAACAGAAACGTACGATCGTTTGCGTTACCCGATTGGGGAGTGGGGGGGGGTTGGGCCCGGGGAGCAGGCGTTACCCGCCAGAGGCAGGAGACAAAAAACATGCTCTTTTGCTCGCCCTGTTTCCCTAGATGTGTGTTTTCGTCCCTTTTCCCGTCAGCTCTGAACGGCAAGGTTTCTGAATGGGCTGGTGGGGATCCTTTTTTGTTTGAGAGCGCAGGCGGAAGGGCCGCGCGCCGTCCAAGTCTGGTGGGGATACGGGAAGCGTGAAAAATCCTGGTGTGGAAGATTACACTAGGATTCCGTCAGTGGAGATTATCGCGCGGGCGAAATGGCCTGGAGATTTCGCAAACGATTTCTACCTGTAAGGGGATTCCTGGAGATTTCACCCGAGATTTCTACCTGAAGGGGGATTCCCGGAGACTTCGCCTGAGATTTCTACCTGAAGGAAGATTCCTCGAGATTTCGGTGCAGATTTGGCTGGGTTTTAACCTCCGGAGATTTGCGCGGAATTTGTAAGAAAGATGCCTCTGGAGATTTCGCCAGGGGGGTCCGCTGCAGGAGATCTGAGGGGGCCCCAGCACTGCTGCCGGAGTGCCGGAGATTCCAGGGAAGATTTTCGCAAGATTTTGGCGAGGACCCTGAAAGGACATGTCTAGGTAGACTCGATCTAACTCTTGGGCCAACTTGGGGGCCTCTGGGGGGTTCTGGGGCCCCTTCTGGGCCCTCTGGGAGCCCTCAAAGCCCCCCGGACCCAAATGCAAACCAATGGTACCAGTTCCTGGCCCTCCCCTGGCCTACTCCGATATACGTATACATATTTGTGTGTATATATATATATACACAAACACGCTTACACCTATACGCATATATGTGTATATACATACATACATACATACATACATACATACATACATACATACATACATACATGCATGCATACATACATACATACATACATACATACATACATACATACATACACACACATACAAACATACATACATACATACATACATACATACATACATACATACATACATACATACATACATACATATATGTGAACGTAAACATGCATCGATACATGCATACACGCATGCATACATACATACATTCATCGTTTGGCATACCTGAGCGTTCGTGTGGTATGCTTAGCTTGCTGGCAGATCTGAACTGACACCTTATATAGATACATCACCGAATCAAGTCTGGAGAGACGGAAGCGTGTATGTACACAACACATGCGTAACAAAACGATGCACGCATTAAATGCAAGTGTGTCTACAACAGATGAGGCTAACAATCTGAGGAATACATGGCTAGCACGAAGGACGCGTATGCACACCCAAACACACACACATACAAACACACAAACAATCACACACACAAAACACACACACACACACGCACACGCCTGGTGACAGATGACACATTGTACGTGCATGCGTACTTGGATGTATTGGCAGACGGGCAATCCAAATAGTTGTGAAGATCCATCATGATGTTCCGATCTGCCCACACGTGAGTTGAAATCTGCGTCACATGCAAGATCAACAACGCAACCATCCCGTTTGTAGAAGACATATGCGCACGCTGGGGCATTCCACGAACAGCGCTTGCGCTTGGGGGTCAGCCGCATTGTGACCGCCGTCGCCGCCCCGTCGCTTTCTCGTCGCCGCCCGTCGGCTGTGCTCGTCTGTCGGGTCCACCGCCCTGTTGCCGCCGTCGCCGCCCCGTCACTTCCTTGTCGCCGCCCGTCGTTCGAGCTCGTTTGTCGGTTGTCGCCGCCTTGTTGCCGCCGTCGCCGCCCCGTCGCCGCCCCGTCGCCGCCCATAATGTTGGCTCGTTTGTCGGGTCCACCGCCCTGTTGCCGCCGTCGCCGCCCCGTCACTTCCTCGTCGCCGCCCGTCGTCCGAGCTCGTTCGTCGGGTCCGCCGCTTTGTTGCCGCCGTCGCCCCCCCCGTCGCCGCCTCGTCGTCGCAACACGGACTGCACCTCAGACGTGGCACCGCATATAGAATCCCAGCTGCCCTTTGGGCGACAGGTGGGCTAAGGAGGGTCTCGATCCTCTTCCATAACCCCTCTTCCCTTCGGGGAGGGGAACGCTCCCCGTCCCCTCCTGTTTTCTTTTTTTGGGGGGGGAAGGGGCCGCGACGAGTTAGAGCGTTTTTTTTCGGCCCCTGGCAGTGCCAAATTTTTGACACCACGAAGATCGTGGCCACGGGGGGGGGGGGGACGGAGATAAGGGCCCCCCTCGTTTGATCGACCGCCTCCGACATGGCCCTAAGAGGCCCTCCAGGGTTCCCAAGAAGCTCCCAAGAGGCCCCCAAGAGGGCCCAAGGAACGCCCGAAGAAGCTCCAAAAGGCCTCCAAGAGGCACCCGAAAAACCCCCAAGTGCCTCCCGCACGGCCTCAGAAAACCCAAAGCGACCTCCAATATTGCCCAGATAGTCCAAGCTGGCTCGAGATGCCCCCCAAAATGTTCCAACCGGCCCCAAGCCGCTCCAAGACGGCTCGAAATTGCCACGGAGCCTTCCAAGCCCCCCCGCTGTTTGACTATGCGTGCCTTTTCTTTTCTTCCCCCGTCAGCTCTCATTGGCATCGTGTCTGGATGGGCTGGTGGGGATACGCGAAACGACAAGCATATAATGATTCCCCCCCGGATTTGACGCATCACTTTTCCGTATTGCAACTTCCACATGACCCCGCCCCCTGCCCATCCTAAATATGAGCTCGTCCAGACCGACGCAGTGCCATATTAACCTCTTATTTTCTCCACCGCAGAATTTCTACGCACGCGCATTCGTTGATCAAGAACCATCTGCTTCAAACGAACTATTGCAAAACAGCTAACCGACATGCAAGCGCGCGCGTCGTCGCGCGCGAATGCCGAATCCGCTAAAAGATCCAAAGCGGTTTAACATTAAAAAACGAGCGCCCGACAACATATAAGCAATACGCGGTCTTGTAAGCGGAGATTGCAAACATGTCTGCGCTCGTGACCACGCGATTCCTCTAGACATCCATATGTATTCAACGTGTGCACCACGTGCTTCGAGCGCGTCTTTCGCGCGCATTTCAAAACCCTTCGAGTGCACTTCCGGGCGCTGTCGCAAAAACAGCAAAACATTGGACTAAATGCGCACGCGGGCGTCGTCGCACGCGCATGCCGTAACCCTGGCACAAAAGCCGTGGGTTTAGTAATGGGAGAAGGATGATCGTATCACTGAGCCTATCCGCATGTGCCCACCCCCTGGGGGACAACGCCCGCACTAGGAGTCGGGATGCCCCATAGAAACGCGTGCGCATTCAAGGGCAGCACACAGCGAGGTGAGAGGTAGAGCTATGCAGGCGCTGCCACCAGCCAGGCTTGCGCCATCGTGCACACGTAGGGGTTTCAGGCTAAAGCCGCGAAACCACATGCAACACATGGTTTTCGAAATCAAAGTCGGACACACGATACGCACACGATCTTACGAGTTGTCAAGAGAGCCACAGTTGTTTTCCCTTACAGCATGTGTATCAATTTCTATCAAGCGGGAATGTTGCGCCGCATGCCGCAAACATTCGCCTGTGGCACAGCACAGGCGCACACCATAGATCGCACCACATACCACACATATTGCACCAGGCACATTGCCCCACATAGGTTGCACAACCCAGGTTGCACCACGCAGTGTACCACGTATATCGAACCACGTCGATTGCCAGAAACACAGTGTGGTGCCCACGCTAGCTCACATGTGTATGTATGTATGTATGTATGTATGTATGTATGTATGTATGTATGTATGTATGTATGTATGTATGTATGTATGTATGTATGTAAATATACACACGTCGCTCGTTTCTAATAGTGCGCATTTCTAAGTGTGCTCGTTGCCAAGTGTTCCTGCCCCCAGGGGCCAGGAAGAGGCCCAGGATAGAACCCTTAGAAACGAAAGGATCTCGGCCCCCACCAACAACCCAAAATTTTTGGAAGCATTAGACATGCACACTGCGTAGACATACACAACCATTTCCACAACCCTTTCGCTCGGCCTGCTGGTTCGCTCGGCCTGCTGGACGAATCAGACATGAACAATTAGAAGTGGAAGGATCTTGGCCCCAAAAAAATCCGAGATCTCTGGAAGCATTAGACATGCACGCTGTGTAGATCTACACAAAGCCCTCCGCTGTTGTCCTCTGCGCCGCTGCCGCTGCCGCTGCCACTGCCGCAGCCGCTGCCCCTCCTGCTGCCGCTGCCGCTGCCGCTGCGCTGCGCGTAGGCGCCCACTGCACTGATCTCAAAGATCCCCTACACAAAACATTAGACATGCACACTGTGTAGTCTCACTCCGCTGATGTCGTCCTCTGCGCCGCCTCGTTCTCTCGGGACCTGCAGCGTCCTGCCCCAGCCCCCCTCCCCTCTCCGCCTCCCTCCGCTTGCCCACCTCCCTCTCTCGCAGGGCTGAACCCAAACGGTGTGTTTTCGTTTTCGTTTTGCTTTCGTTTCTCCTCGTTTGGTCTCCAATCCACCCCTACTGCAGAACGAAGTCGAAACGGAAACGGCCCACGGAATCGCCAAAACACCGTTTAGGTCCAGCCCTGCTCTCTCGCTCACTCCCGTCTCTGAGGGCCACGCCCGCGGCCCCTCGGCGACGGTCGACTCCGAGAGGTGGACCTGGCGGGGGCTCTCAGGGTTCTCGGGGCGTGCCAGCGGACGCGCGTTGCGCATCACGAAGTCACCATCCCGCCGTGGGGGTGTGGCGACGGAGACGCCCTGCCGCCCCTCCCTCCGCCCGCCCACGATTGCGCCAGAAGCAGGAGGGGAGGGGGGAGGGTCGAGGAACGACCATCGGATATCAGAGGGGATCGAGGATGAGGATCGAGACGGAGGATCGAGGAGGGAAGGAGGAACAGGATCGGAGGAGAGGAGGAGCAAGAGGGATGAGGAGGCAGAGGGACGGGGCGTGGGGCACGAGGGAGGTCTCCTCCACGCGAGGGGGCCAAGGAGGGGGGGAAGGACGAAAGAGGGAGGAGGATCAGAAAGGAGGAGGGGCGAGGGGGGGGGGAGGAGCAGGAGTCACCGGTGGACCACCCATCTGGAAGCCCGAATCGCTGGGCCCTCGAATCTGGGCGGCGTCCCCCCGCAGCAAGGCTGTCCGGCAGGGACGTGGCGTGTCGTTGTCCTGGCGAGTACTGGGCCCTTCTTGACGAGAGGAGATTGGGAAAACGGAAAAGAGGATGGAGACGGAACCCCAGGGAGGAGAAGTGGGGAGGAAGAGCAGGAGGAGGGGGAAGAGGAGGAGGAAGAGGAGGAGGAGGAGGAGGAGACTAGAGGAGGAGGAGGAGGTGGAGGAGGAGGAGGAGGAGGACGAGGAGGAGGAGGAGGCAGGAGGAGGAGGAGGACTAGGAGGAGGAGGAGGAGGAGGAGGAGGACCAGCGCAATGCCAAAATTCATTAACGATGTTGCAGTAAGCCCTCCCGCCAAGTTTTTTCCCAACCATCCTGCGGTGTTGTGTCCTCGTTTTGAAGGGACGGTCCCCGCGTTCCTCTCTCCTCCTCTCTGCTCTTCCTTCCCCTCTTCCTCCCTCCTCCCGTCACCCTCCTGACTTTGGCACACCCCTCACACGCTGCGTGGCCCCATAGGGAGCTCCACCGAGGGGGGCCCGCATGTGTCCCCCCCACCCAGTACAGCGCTTCGTGGCCCCATGGGGAGCTCCACCGACGGCCCCAGCGGGGGTGCCCGCATGCGTCCGCCACACCCAGTACAGCGCTTTGTGGCCCCATAAGGAGCTCCACCGAAGGCCCCACTGGAAGTGCCAGCGCGTGTACGCCACAGCCAGTACACCATTCGTGGCCCCAAAGGGAGCTCCACCGAAGGCCCCAGCGGGGGTGCCCGCATGCGTCCGCCACACGCAATACAGCGCTTCGTGGCCCCATAGGGGGCTCGCCCCATCGAGGGTGCCCGCATGCGTCCGCCACACACAGTACAGCGCTTCGTGGCCCCGTAGTAGGGAACTCCACCGAAAGGCCCCAGTGGTTCCGCCTGCATGCGCCACCCCCCACCCAGCACACCGCTGCGTGGCCCATAGGGAGCTCCACCGGAAACCCCAGTTTCAGAACCCGCATGTGTCACCCACCCAGTACAGCCTTTCGTGGCCCCATACGGAACCCCACCAAAGGCCCCAATGGATGCACTCGCATGCGGTTCCCCCACCCAGTTCAGCGCTTCGTGACCCCATAGGGAGCTCCGCCGAAGGCCCCACTGGCGGGGTTCGTATGCGTTCCCCCCACCCAACACAACGTTGCGTGGCCCCATAAGGGGGCTCCACCGAATGCTCCGGTGGCTGTACTCGCATGCATTTCCCACATCCATTACACTGTTTCGTTGCCCCATAGGGAGCTCCACCGAAGGCCCCAATGGCGGCCACGCCCCAGTGCGGCATCCCCCTCGCACTTTTCGCGGCCCCGTAGTGCGTTCCGCTTGCACCAGTGGCAACGCCCACTTGGCGCCCCCGCCCCGCATCGGCACACCCTTCGCGTGCTTCATGGCCTCATGTGGAGATCACCCGAAGGCGATGCCCGCAGCGACGGTACTCGCATCTGCATATGGTTGGGTCCTTTGCCGAGATATTCTTCTATATACAAAACGGTTCCCGTGAACATTATCTTCGCTGCGGGAGAAACCCTTCGCCAAGTTACTGTCGCACACGGACAACCTTAAATCTTTCCGGACACACGATTCCTGTGGCGTCAGCCGTGAACACCCTTGAGCCTGCAATCAACTGCTAGGACAAACCGAGTTTCGAAATCCCGCCGCACTCCACCCGCGAAGCCTCGCAAATGTTTGAGACGAACGCGCGCGACGCTGAAACGAAAACCACCTTTTGATAACGACCCGCCCTTCATCCGTCAAGCCCTGGCGCAAGTTTCAAACGACAACGCGCGGCGCCAGCGCTTGCTCGCAAGTCGCGCGCTGAAAAGCGCGCGGGCAAATCTTGCGTGCACGAAGCTGGGCAGCACCTCTCGCCCAAACGCTGCAATCCTGAACGCCCGCCGGATCGGCAGCGCGCTCCCGCGCATGCCCAGCCCGTTCGTTTCTAGGGCGCCATGCCAGCCCAGCGCGCCCGCGCGTGGTTGGAGCAAGAGTCCCAAGGTAAAATATTTGACGCCTAAACACATCATCCTTTTCGGGCGCTCCCCCCGCCCTGCCGTGAGCGCGCAATTTCTGGCGCAACAATTTCGTTGAAATTTGTTGACTGCCAGCCCTGGCCAGAAACGCCTCGTTGGACGCGCGCGATGTGCAGGAAGGCTGACCGCGCAGCATTGTCCTCAGACATCTGCAGTGACAATCATTCAACTTACGGACCTCGGCGACATTGGGCCACGTAGCAATAAGCCCGTGGAAAAGCTGGCTGACGATGACGGCCTTGAACAACTCAATCTTCCTCGCGAGCGTCAGCAGTGCGCGCTTCCAGATCCGGTTCAAGTGGCAGAACTCGTCCCGGGCCCCCCCGATTCTGCGGTGGAGGTTTTCTTTGGCGCTTCCAGCGCGTCTGATGTCGACGCCGAGATATTGCGCCACCTCCGCACCTGGGATTGGCCCTCCCGAAGGCGTGTTCAAGCTGCAACTTCGGCCGACAGAAATCAGCTGAAACCTGGACCAGTGGAAAAAGACATGCCGCACTGGGCGCCCGCGTTGGCCGCGGCGTCCGACAACTCCTGCACGTGGCCGTCGATGGCCCCAGCGAAAAGAATTCCATCTGCAGAGAGGAGAGGATCGATCAAGCCCTCGCCCAAGCTCTTCCGGGTCTCCGCAGTCAGCGATCTCGTCGCATCTTCGACGACCACCGTCATCAGCATGACAAACAAGAAGGGCGAAAGTGGGCACCCATGCGAGATGCTGGACAGCTGGGTTCGCTCGGTAGACACCCCCGCGGAGCGGGCAACGGTCAAAGTGCGGCCCTGGTAAAGGGGCTGAATCGCCCCTGGTATCGTCGGCGGCAGGCCGAAACGCCTGAGCGCGACAATGAGCGATTCGACGTTGGAGTCGAGCGCGCTTTTCCAGCCCCGCGCGACCGCGCCCACCATGCCACCTTGGCGTGCCAGTTCTGCGCCCGCGCGTCTCCCGACGGCGAATGCAACGTCCTCAGCGCACCTCCCTGCCCTGAAGCCGGACTGCGTCTTTGTCAGTCTTTCCTCGGCACCGCCGCGCTCCAGTCGCCTCGGAAGAAGGGGGGGAAGAGCTTGTGCGTCGCGCAGACAAGACTGATGGGCTTGTAGTTGTCACAATCCTGCATGCCCCCTTGCGTATGGAGGCAACTGAAGCTTGTTGACAGCTTGAAGGCGTATGATGTGCGACCCAGCAGCTGTTGCTCACATCGGCGAACCGTTGAATCCCGCGACGCGCGTTTCGGCGGCTTGCCAGAAATCTGAGGGAATATTATCTGGACCAGATGCCCTGGTTTTCTTGGGCGATTTCAGAGCGCCCGAGACCCTTTCCACGCTGATGGCATTTAAACTGATCTGGAGCTCTGGCCCGAGAGGAAGGCCGTCGACGAGGCCGGCACGGCGCGCTTGCCGCGCGCGTAACCTCCTCTAGAGGTTTCGCCATCGCGTCTGCCCTCGAATCACTCTCGACGGGGTTGCCCTCCTGGTCGCGCAACGTGCCGACACGCGAAGCCGTCTAGTAAACGCACCCAAAGAAGGAATCAAGCAGGGCAGGGCTGTTCAGCAAACTCCCAGGGCCGTTTAGGAAACGCCACTTGTCTGGTCCGGGTGGTTTTTCCTCCCTTGAGTGAGGTTGTCGCAACGGGGTTGGGGGGCTGGGGTTATGTTGCTCCCATCGTACTTAAAAACCACATTCCAGGAAAGTGTCGAAAGAGTGTCGAAAGAGTGTCGAACAAGTGTCGAAACAGTGTCTCCCAGGGCCCGGCACGTGAACACCCTCGAGTCTCGGTACTTGTTTTTGGGTGCTCGCAATTCTTTCTGGCGATCAAGGCCAAATTGGGTTGGAACATCATAAGGCTGGGGTGGGGGGCTGGCCTGGGTGTGGTCGAAGAGCGACAGGCCCAGCGTGTGCCGCACGCGGTAGGACAGCGCCACGGGCAGGCCCTGCGGCCCCACAGAGACCTCTCGGCGCCGCCCCAGGGCGGGCGGGGCGGCGGCGCGGGCGCGGGCGCCGCCCGCCTCGATGGGCGCCCGCGCGGCCAGCCCGCGAGGCTACTGCGCGCGTCGCGGGCCCGATGGCCTGTGCTCCTCCTCCTCCTCCTCCTCCTACTCCTCCTCCTCCCCCTCCTCCTCCTCCTCCTCATCCTCCTCCTCCTCCGCCTCCTCCTCCTCCTCCTCCTCCTCCTCCCCCTCCTCCTCGTCCTCCTCCTCCTCCTCCTCCTCCTCCTCCTCCTCCTCCTCCTCCTCCTCCTGCTGTGACCGCGCCTCCTCCACCCGAGGATGCCAGGCCGGTGTGCAAGGCCCGGGAGGCTCGGTCCAGACGCCTGGGATGCTCGCAGTGCTGGCCCGCAGCCAGGACACGCAAGGCTGCTCGGCGCATCGCCGCTTCGCGTACCCGAGGACGCCGTGCGCATGGATGGGGCAACAAGAGCTGCACAAGCATAATCCCACCAGCCCTCTGGGCGTAGG